ACTTCATATAATGGATAATAGACTTAGAAAAGGCTAAGGTAAAGTAAAACCTACTTAAATCACGAATATAAATATTACTATCAGCATCATTAAAATTTTACTGTCGTTATCTTAGACACAATGTAAATATATAATGAATCTAACTAAAACTGATTTCTAACTATTACCTTAAATAACTCTCTACTATGACTAACAATATAAAATATACCCTCTCTTAATAATTATAAAGCAAATTAACTAAAACAAAAAAAACAAAAAAAAAAATAACTATCAGTTACAACAATTCCTTTGTCTATAAGTAAATAAATACGTGCGCTACATTTATCTTGGGAAATATTATAAAACCACACGAATATCCCTAATTATTATCTTAATACTACTCAATAATATAAACTCTCGCAAAAAAGACCCCTTAAACTTTTAATAGAAAAAAAATTAAACATTAATTTTCGCCCGCCAGACAAAATTCTCCCTTCCCCGTGCCGGGTAAAATATTGAACCAGCTTACAAATTAGGTAATACAATATAAATAAGCCTTCAATCTAAGATTGCATTTGATTGGCCGAAATTTAGGCGCGCTTTCCCCATGCAGAAAATTCAATATCGGGCTAGAGTAGGATTGAAAATTAAATCTACAACCAATCAAATATGGCATTCTAATGACGTAAGCAGGAAATTCAGCATTAGCCCAACGCTCCCCACTTTGTCACAAATTCAATAATTCTGAGAATTATGCCCACTTATTAAACTTATTATAAAATATAAAACTAAAAAGAATAATTTAGATCCCTTGTAATAAGAACCCTAGCAATTATTACTCCTTACCTTTAGTCAATTTAGCCTTAGTTATAAGCATAAATAATTAAATCATAACAATAATCATAACTATTTATAACATACTTATACAGTATGTGTATTTTAATTTTCCTTATAATAACTATATATACTCTAATTGGTATTGATAACCATCTATAATACTACAACTAAGCACATAATAAGAATGAAATACCATAAAACATAATTTTATTATAAAACCTAAATAGAAAACAAAATTGAACTATAGTAGGATTGAAAATTCGGCTTCTATCATCCAATGAAAACCGACGAGACAACAACCTTATAATTTTGAATCATCCAAAATTATTAAATCAAAAATGCAAGAATAAACAAGAAAGGATTCAGGACCTCATAGGAGGGAGGAGGGGAACCAACATCAAAAGAGATGCCTACAACAAACCATCAACAAGAACAAATCATCAGTATCAAATAAAGGGATTCAATAAGCCTGTATCGGAACCCTAAAAACCTATCCCCGCATATAAACATATACATAACTGCAAGCACCATACCTAGTCCATACCATAAAACAGGCGCTAGGACTCATACTAGCACAAGCCTGGGTGGATCCTGACTCCTATAAGCAATATATATATATATATATATATATATATATATATATATATATATATATATATATATATATATATATATATATATATATATATATATATATATATGATAAGATTTCCCACCATGACAAGGACAAAAAGGTCAAGGCCGATAAGGGAAAAATCAGTAACCTCCCACCTGATAGCCCTAACTCCCAGGAGCGGAGTAGACCGATTAGCCGGACGCACACAAAGACCGAAAAGTAACCTGGTAAAGGCTACAATCACAAAAGTGAACGGAACTGACAAGCAATTAGCAATGGACAGAACGGGCCGCGCGGCCAACTGTTCGAAAATAAGTCTACAACCTTCACTTTGGCCTGGAAGAACCAACATTAAAACGAGATCCTTTGGAAAGGCAGTCAAAATTAAAAACCAAACATTGTCAAAGCGGTAATAAATGTCAAAATTAGGTGACATATACCTAGAGATTGAGGTATTTTTTTAGAACCATATAAGTACGCTAAGTACGCAAAATTCAACCTCATCAAAATATATTCAAAATTAACAACTCAGAAACATTTGGATAATTGAATAGGTGGCTAACACATCATTGTTATAGGGACACCCATAGGAGAAACTGGTTAAATTTGACAATAATCCACCTGAGATAAAGTTAGGTGAACTTAGACATTGGGGACTTTAGTAGGCGGGAGTTGAGGCGGAAGGCCGTTACGCTCTGTTACAATATGCAGCCAACCAAAGGGTCTTAAGGTCAGCAAATAAAGGTCAGCACCACGACCAAAAGCCCAGCCCTAGTGCTAAGCGCCTCCCTGGATAGCAATGTTACCGAAAGGTAACATCCGGCCAAGGCGGTGAGCCACCAGGGGGGTTAATAGGCCCACGCGCCGGGGCAAAAGTGTTTAGCACTGAGACACGGGTGAGCCCGGCCCCGGAAGGGGGAGATGCCACTAGCCCTTATCAGGGCTTAAAGTCATAAAACACGAGAGTGTATACATGACTATAATACATATGACATGAGGGATATACAGCAAGTTACACAAATCGTTGGACAAAAAAGAAGGGAGATAAAGTTAGGTGGATTTAGACATTGGAGACTTTGGTAGGCGGGAGTTGAGGCGGAAAGCGGGTACGCTCTGTTACAATACGCTTCATAAGATCTTTTTTTTTGGGGGGGGTCTCTGACCTCTAGGGTTTCAGGTAAAAGGCCTAGCACCAATCAAAACCGACGAGACAACAACCTTATATTTTTGAATCATCCACTATTACTAAGTCAACAATACAAGAATAAAGATGAAAGGAATCAGGACCTCATAGGGGAAGGAGGGAAAGCAAACATCAAAAGAAGATGCCTACAACAAACCATAAACAAGAACTATTCATCAGTATCAAATAAAGGGATTCAATAAGCCTGTATCGGAACCCTAATAACCCCCTCCCGGCATACAAACACGAACATACTTGCAAGCACCATACCTATTCCATAACATAAAACAGGCGCTAGCACTCATACTAGCACACGCCTGGCTGGATCCTGAAACCTATAGCTCTATATATAGGCTAAGATTTCCCACCATGACAAGGACATATAGGTCACGACCGATAGCGAAAGGTAAAATCAGGAACCTCCCACCTGATAGCCCTAACTCCCAGGAGCGGAGTAGACCGATTAGCCGGACGCACACAAAGACCGAAAAGTAACCTGGTAAAGGTTACAATCACAAAAGTGAACGGAACGGACAAACAATTAGCGATGGACAGTCCGGGCCGCGCGGCCAACTGTTCGAAAATACGCCTACAACCTATGTCTTCACTTTGGCCTGGAAGACCCAAGATTAAAACGAGATCCTTTGGAAAGGCGGTCAAAATTAAAAAACAAACATTGTCAAAGCGGTGATAAATGTCAAAATTAGGTGACATACACCTAGAGATTGATTTCTTTTTAGAACCACATAAGTACGCTAAGTACTCAAAATTCAACCTCAACAAAATGTATTCAAAATGCACAACTCAGGAACATTTGGATAATTGAATAGGTGGCTAACACATCATTGGTATAGGGACACCCGTAGGAAAAACTGGTTAAATTTCACACAATAGTCCACCTAACTGAGATAAAGTTAGATGGACTTAGACATTGGGGAATTTGGTAGGCGGGAGTTGAGGCGTAAAGCCGGTACGCTCTGTTACAATACGCTTCATAATGTCTTTTATAGGGTCTCTGACCTCTAGGGGTCAGGAAAAGGCCTAGCACCAAGGCCAAGTGCCCTCTTAATGGGACTGCAGTCTATGCCCGGGACTGCAAGCAGTCGTATAAGCCTTAGGGCAGTAAGCGACTTAAAACCCCTTACCTTTCCTTACCTTACCTGAATCCACTCACCACTCACATACTCTAATTAACACAGCCACAAACACTAACCAACAAATAACCTACTAACAACTAGCAACTAATACTAGTTAAGAGGATATATATATATATATATATATATATATATATATATATATATATATATATATATATATATATATATATATATATATATATATATATATATATATATATATATATATATATATATATGGGGGTTTGTGTGTGTGCGTGCGTGCGTGTGTTTGTATGTACATACTTTGTAACTCTTCCGTCTACCCCACCCAACCTCTAAGCATGCCACCAGCATAAAACACAAGTCAAGTAAGAAAGAACTGGGGAGTGCAGAAAAGGAAGACCAGGAAACGGACTGGAAATTCCACCTTCCAATTATTAAACAAGAACCAGGACTTTCGGAAGCAGAACAAGGCAGGACCCTAACCTCCATAAGGCAGGCACTAGTCCTCCAACGCCGCGCCGGAAGAATGGACAAGAAGGACCAGTACCTCCACAAGCCAAGCACTAGCCCTACAAAAGAAATTAATAAACCCAAACCCTGTCCATCCCCTAGGGCAAGCACTCGCCCACACAAGAGCAAGCTCTGGCTCATTCCCAGCTACCCTTGCAAGTTCTGGCACACATCTGGGCAAGCACTGGCCCACCGGACAAGCAGACAAAGTAAGTCAACGATTGACAACTTCACCTCGTAAGAAGGTGGTTTTGAAGTAAACTCCAAGCCACAAAACCCACAACTCTACTTACTCTCCCTATCCACTCTCATAGCCCTCTTTCATAACCCTCTCTTTAATTTCCCCCTTCCACTAACAAAATGACCTAAAACAGGTGCTAGTAAAAACACACTAGCAAACACCTTGGTGGAATTATGAAGCAAAAACTACTTTTGCAAAAGCCTTTCCACAATAAGCCCTAAACCAAACTCTCATTTCCACCCACCATATTCTAACACCCCAACTAACAAAAGGGCCCAAAAAAGGTGTTAGGAAAAACAAACTAACAACACCTGAGTGGAATCCTGCGTACGACAAGCCTGTGTTATACAAAGATTCACCATGCAAAGTCTTTCTCCATCTAGCTACTATGCCACCCTCAACTCCTACAAACACAAGGGGACTAAAACAGGTGCTAGGGAAAACATCCTAACAACAGCAAGCCTACTTTTTTTTGTTGCTTTTTTATTCATCAATTATATATTGCAATATACCGCTCCGGTGGTTTAGTGGTTAGAGCGTCCGCCTCAGACGTGGGAGGTCGGGGTTCGATCCCAGGTTGAGTCATATCAAAGACTTACAAAAATGATTGGGTGGGACATTATTCTACATGTCTGCGGCATGATGCTCTGAAACTGCCACACCGCAGACATCGTAACGATGTAACTGAAAAATGGTTAAAGCAACGTTAAAAAAAATCACAATCACATCACAATCACATGTATTGCAATATAAATACACTTTGTTAATGAGACGTTTCTTGCTCAGTGTAACTTTGTTATGTGGTGTCGAATATAGACAAAGTAGGCCTATATAGAAACTTACAACTCGTTGTTACATATTTTGGAAAATTATTTTATTTCGATAATCAACCAAAATACAATTGTTAAACATAATGACATATTTGCAACATGATTGTGTCATACTTTATCAATACTTTATGATTGTTCGAAATTGGAACTTTTTCGCCCAATGTTCGGTCATTTCATTCTGCATAAATATGTCTTTCGGCTAAGTTAATTGATCCATCAATATAATTAACAGTATAACAACGCTTTCTTTAAAATCTGACTTTGCGACTTTGCATGGCTTTGTGTGGTTTTGTCAACCTTTGTGTGGCTTTTTCGGGATTTGTGTGGCTTTGTCGGGCTTTGACAGGCTTAGCAGTATTTAGTAGGCTCGGTTCCGAAACGTGCAAATTTCGCGAATTTTGCCTGCCAGGACAAAGTTGCTCTCAGGTGACATTTTAGTAGCACACTTTGTCGGGGATGAGGCTCTTCTTCTGTCCCCCTCGATCAATTGATTAATTAGTCCGCAATTGCGGACTTTAAATAGTCACGCATGCATGATGTGCGCAAGCGACGTTTAAGTAATTTCATCCTAATCATCATCGTCTAGTATGACCATTATTATTGCTGTGTCTTGATTTTAAGCATTTAATGATGATGTAATGGGATTTAGATAGTGCGTATAGTGTGTATTCACTGTTAGATGGTCCAATGAATAGTTTGCTGAATTACATATAATTCTGTTGTGTGGGGTGGGTGGGGTGAATTTAGAACACTTTCCCGTTTAGTCTGATAGTAGGTGTGTAGAGACTAGCTAAATAGTTTTTCTTGTATTTTATCACACACACACACACACACACACACACACACACATATATATATATATATATATATATATATATATATATATATATATATATATATATATATATATATATATATATATATATATATATATATATATATCACCTATAAAAAAAACAGGTTACTGGAAATTATGTGTTTGAATCAGATTTTAAAATGTAAACGTTACATTTTCAGTATAGTTGCAACAGATCAAAGAAATAACATTTACAAAGTTACCATTTTCCCTATCAACTCGTTTGTCCTCATAATTACTTCTGTCCAAATAAACACTTGTTCTTGTAAACATTTCTGTCCCATAAGCGCATTTGAGTTTATAACTCGTTTGATGCCAGAAAGACCCATTTGATACTCAATCATCCCATATTGCTACTTTTATCTTATCATATTTTTTTTGTAGAAATGTTATATATATATATATATATATATATATATATATATATATATATATATATATATATATATATATATATATATATATATATATATATATATATATAGTTACCTTGAAAATACATATATAACCAATTTTATTTTCTGTTGTCCGTTTCTCTCGTCTTTATTATCTTCGTTCATCTCATCTTTCTGATCCTTGCGTCTTACATGGAGGACAAATAAGTGTATAATACTGCCTGCTTGACTTACGATTGTATACTGTTCAAATATATATGAATTATATAAATGCATCATTTATCTTTAAGTTATAAAAAAAATCATAAAATAACCATTTTACACAGTCTTCCACCAGACGTTACTGCCTAGGAAATATTTAAAGCATGAAGAATCTGTATTCTCTAGTTTAAATCGTACTCTTAATTATTTGTATCAGCCGTTAAACGTTAACCGCGCAACGACCCTTCTATTACCGGATAGTTAATGCAACGCGGACTTTTCCGGCTTAATTACTCATATATATTTTTCCTCAAAAGAAAATAGTGCACAGTTTGAAAATATATTTGTGATTGTTTTAATACCAAAATATAACATTTTCACATATTTTAATGCAGATACAGAATATATAGACTTGTTAATTTCATAAATATTAAGTATTTATATTGTTTTATAGAAATGTGAACCTATAGTTCAAGCGGAAATGCGGTGCACTGTCTTTTTCTTTGATATACGTCGAGGTGAGTGAGCCATGTGGTTAGATGAGTAAAATAAAAAACCCTAATCTTCCCCAATATTGACTTTTTTAGTATTTAAGTAACATGCACCAAATGTTTAGGCTTTGAAGCTGCTTAATTCAATCATACAAACGTCATCTGCTTGTAAAATTGGCGTATGATGTGTTGCGCATCCTAATTTCGCTAGGTATTTAGAATTTTTTGGGGGGGTATTTTATACATATGAATTGTTTTTCCCGTTGAGATATCGACATTGTAAGTTTATAGACATGGAACCGTCGAATATAGTCCTGGATATGTATTCCTTTTAATTTACACTTTTTTTTTCCGAATGTATTGGAGTGCTGGATTAATGAAGCGGTGTCCTCTAGTTAATGGTCAGTGCACCTATTTTCGGTTGATCCCATGCGTCTTATTATTGGTGTGGGTTTGGGCCGTTGTATTATTGTAATATAATACTGTGCAATATATCAATGTTGAGTTTAGTTAGATGTGTTTGCTAGAGTTTTTGACACAGTTGTGTAGATATTAGATCAGAGTTCTATTGCTTTAATTGCATCACTGGAATGACTGTTCTACATACAACAAGATTTATCACGTTATTTTAGTCCTACAACGTAAGCCCCATTAACCCGATATTTTTCTTCTGGTTGGGTATTGGATTTTACTGCCTGCCTAATGGCGCTGTCAAGCGTGTTTTAATGTCAAACGAAAGTAAAATTTTTAGGAATATCACACACAACGTGCAAACAATAATGACGCCTTTCTATAAAGTTACAATTTTACCCTGATGTTTTTTCTCAGATAAATTCATTCTCATCAAAGAAATCGGCCTGTTTTCAAGTTTCAGTAAACTTAATTTCAGTTGGCTGGAAAGCAATGAAAACCAGGAATGCCTATATGAGGTTAGGTTGAAATATTATTCTTTATCAAAACGAAAAAAATATATTGTGCCTATTGGAACTGTAAGCAATGTTTCATTTCATTTAAGAAACAAATCTTGCACATGAACATACTGGAACATATACTCGGGCATACATCGATTACTGTTGGATTGCAACAAATTCAAATATATGTCAATGGAACATGACAATGCGTCAATTTGCTAGTGTCATATTTAGATTCCATCAGGATAAAGACAGCACATTAAGTATATTAATTACACAAAAATTAGTGGATGAGTGTCGATATAGGCTGCCAAGTGTGTGAGATATTCCTGAAACTTGACTACACATTCTGATGTCAATGACATCGGAACTGGGCTATTTAAAACCCTTAATAGGGTCATAAGACAACGCTAAAACAAAAACGTGCTATGTCTTACATTGTAGGACTAATGTTATTTATGTTTTATTGTTATGTCTTACTACCCAAATAATGGCCTTGTATAGCGAGTAGTTTCAGGAATATCTCCCGCTTTGGTTGCAGATATTGACATTCTTTCACAAATTAATATGTAAATAATATTGTTATTGTGCTCTTTTTGTCCTGACAGAATATAAATATGACACTTGCAGATGGATGCATTTTAATGTTCTGTTGACCTACATTTAAATTTGTTGCTATGCAACGGTAGTCGAGGTATGCAGAAGTAGGTTCATGTGGTGGATATGTTTATTAAATGAAACAAAATGTTGCTTACAGTTCAAATAGGCATAATATATTTTTTATTTGTTTCATTAAAGAATAATGTTTCTACATAACCCAATGTCTGCATTTGCTGCATTCATTGCTTTCCATCCAACTGAAATATAGTAGGGATAATGGGTTAAATTTAAAATTTCATATCAGGTTAATAAATATGGAACTTTTGAGAAGGTCAGAGCACCAGAAATAATAAATTAGCAAATAAAATATCCTTTTAATGGATTTTGCTCATAGCAAGTGCAAGCAACGTATTTTATTACTAGAGAAAAATTTCTCCTTAAAGTGAGCATTTTTGTACCGTGTATATATTGAATACAAATCAAGTAATGGAATGCTTTTTGTACAGTGTATATATTGAATACAAATCAAGTAATGGAATGCTTTTTGGGGTTTAATTAAAGAAATCATCAATAGAGAATAAAACTGTTCTTGAAGTATAATTTACAAATGTATGTGGTATGTACAAGGAAATTTTGGGAAAATATGCCTCAACTAATACAAAAGTTTGCAGTTTTAATTGCTCAAGATTTACAATGGGGAGTGTATGTCCATTCTAAAAGACATGATGAAAAGCATGTCTTTAATTGTGCTTTATAGATGTGAAATTTAAAAACAATAGATTGGGAACGTCTTCTCACTTTAAAAAAAATCTATAATGACTAACAATCCAGGTATTTATTCCTTATAAATGAGATTTATTTTAGACCAATTCATCTGAATATGCTGTTTATATAAAATCAGGTTTACATAAAATATTTTTTTCTCTAATATTTCCTAAGAAAAGTTAAATACAGTTCTACATATATGTTTATTATTTTGTTGCTTTATTGTACAATTGGATTGTGTAGGTATTTTTTTTCATAATATGAACTTATTTCTTAAACTGTTTAAAATAATGACAGAATCACACAAAAGAAGATGTTAATGCAGGGAGTATGGATGCTACAACAGCCTGAGCTGTGAGTAGCCTTCAAAACTAAATTTTTTTTATTAATTACGGGGAGGGGTCTTATTCTTCTAACAAAAATCTTCTCTGAAGACACGAGCACAGTTTTATATTAATCTTCACTACTAGATTAATTTCATATCCATAGGTATCAAGCAGGTTTGATACCATTTTGTAGCAGTAATAATAAAAGCA